CTCTGCTGACAAATCTGGTACACGTTGACGTCCCCAGTGATGCCTCAACCGTCCTGCATTGTAGCATCTGATCGATCAGGCTCACCGTCCTGGAGTCAACGCCCAGATCCGTCAGTGCGCCCGTGATGGCGGTCGGAAGGATGTTGTTAAAGGCGCCTTCTATGTGGAGGAAGGCTACTATGGTGTACTCCTTAAAGTTAAGGGACGCTTCGATGATCGATGTGATCGAGTGTAGGGCCGTTTCGGTGGATCTTCCCTTCCGATAGGCATGCTGGGAGTCTGAGATCAGACTGGACGGAATGCACGCCGTTAGATGCAGCCCCAGGAGCCGCTTCATCGCCTTTAGAAGAAAAGACGATAGACTTTGGGGCAGTGTGCGAGGGCTTGCCTGCCTTGGGTATGAATACGACTTTGGTCTGAAGCCAGGTGTCAGGAATGCACCCGTGGGAGAAGATTCCCTCGTAAATTATTTTGAGCCAGTTAGTGGCTTTATGTCCCGCGTTAATCAGTTGGGCAGGGAAAATGCCGTCTGGCCCCGCGGACTTGTAGGGTTTAAAACTTCTGATCGCCCAGGAAATGTTCTCCTGGCTTAGCAGTCTCAGGATGGCATTTGAGGCGACAGAAGGAGGCGCGAGGTAGTTGGGTCTGTTTTCATCGCAGCCAGGGAAGTGGGTATTTAGGAGAAGATTTAGCGACTCCTCGCTGGACGTAGTCCACGACTGGTCGGTGTTCTTCAAGTAGCCCAAGGTGGGTGTTGTCTTCGAGAGAACTCTGCGCAAGCGTGAGGCTTCTGAGTTACTCTCGATTTCGCTGCAGAACTTACGCCAGGAGGCGCGTTTGGCTTTTCTAAGTTCTTTGTTGTAGGTTGACAGACTGGCCTTGTACTCGGCCCAGTTTTGCTCAACGTTTTCAGCCTTAGCTTTATTGCAGAGTCTCCGGGAGGCTTTCCGGAGTTCACCCAGTTTCGGATTCCACCATTCAGGTTTCTTCCGGCCTCTGTTCTTGCCAGAGGGGCATGCTTTGTCGAGCGCCTTATTGCAGGCGTCGGTAAAGATCTTAAGAAGACGAGTCGTGGCCTCCGTGGAGAACTCCTCCTCAGATGGGGGCTCAGGGAGAACACGACAGAGGTAATCAGAGTACCGAGTCCAGTTTGTCCGCCTGATGTTCCGGAATCGGACTGGCTTCGGTATTGAGAAGGAGAAGACAGTTTCCACGTACCTGTGGTCCGAGAAGGAGTGCTCTTCCAGGACCCTCCAGGATACAATGTAACGCTGTATCTCATGAGAGGCAAGCGTGAGGTCCAGGACCTCCTTGCGGTTTTTAATGATAAAGATCACTACCCCGGTTTAATAAGACCATCTGAGTGGTCAGTAAGTAACTGAAAAGGTACTCACCCCTTTCGTTTGTGTCAGTGCTTCCCCACTGACAGTGATGTGCATTGGCATCACACCCCACAATTAGGCCGATGTCCTTGGCCGAGCAGTCTGCGATTAGAGCCCGGAGAGGCGCGTGTGGAGGGGGGTCTGGTTGTTCATGCCCCATGTATGCGGAGCAGATCCTCAGTGAGCGCTCCTGGCCTTCGAGGCTCACTGCGGTGTGGTCTTCATTGCTGAAATTTGGGAGCAAAAATAAGTGCAACTCTCTTTTTGCAAGAATGCAGGTACGAATTTTACCTGCGGTTTCAGCTACATATAGCTTGTAGTCAGAAGTCCTCAGACCGGAGACCCTGTTTCCGAGGATCCAGGGCTCCTGAATGAGGACTATGTCGGCTCCACCCTTGGCCAGGTGGAGCAGTAGAGCAGCGAATGCTGCCTTACAATGGTGGAGGTTTATCTGCAGGAGCGTCAACGACATTCCTGAGGCTCGCCTCCACCACTGTTACTTCTAGATCGCTGTCAGGGGACTCCGGCTCCTCCCCGACAACGATATGGCTGAGACCTCTGGCTAGGTCGCTCTCGTCGAACGCGTAGTCGTCCAAGATGTCGTCCGACATCCGACGCCGGGTTGTCTTCCTCGCACGAGGCCCCCTCTTTCGGGATCTCCGGCAGCTCCGGGTCTGGCTCGACCTCCGCTTGCCTGCCCTTGCGATCGGACTTGTAAGTGGATATGGTGACCTTCTTGTAGCCATAATCCACTACACCGTCCGAATTTGCGAGGAGATCTATGGATTCCTCATTTAGGACGAGGATAATCTGGCGCCTCTGCCCTTGGATATCCTCCACCTTTGCCACCTTCCAATCGGCTGTAGGAAGGTGGGGGTTGCAGACCTGCAGTAACCTGAGAATCTTCTCAGGCTCTGCAGGCTTAGCCGAGACCCACGCTCTGGCTCTCGGGCGACTAGGGACATCTTCCCACTTCACGGCCTCCAGTTTCGCCCCTGGATAGACCTCTTTTAGGGCCGCCACATGTAGAGGGCCGCAGAGCGAGCGTCGTGGCAGGCGATGGCTTTCACCTTGCCTTGATGCCACCCTGCGTCCTCACACTTTGGCGGTGGTCCGCCGTTCTCCTCCAGTTCCAGTAGGAACCGGTCCTGGAGCTCGTTCTCCACCAGGTGCCACTTATCGCGAGGGACATGGCCGTCCTCGGCGCCCCTGTCCAGGACACCGATCAGGGTCTTGCCCCTCGCCACCTCAGCGAACGACCGGTTCGTGAGGTGGGTTTTCACCCGCTTGGCTTGCTGGGCTTGGCCTGGCTGATTTGCGGGGTCCTCCGCTGAGCGTTGCCGCTTGTTGGGGGCCTTGGCTGCGCCCTTTCCGGCTTTGGCTGGCTGGAACAGAGGAAGGATTGAGCAGGCCCACAGCCTCTGCTCCTTTCCTTCGGCTGAAGCCCTGAAGTTCGGGTCTTCGTTGGACAGGATGAAAGCCGCTCGTCTCCTGTCCTGGTACGACGGCTTTCCTCCCCGTGGTGCAGAGACGCTGCCCGCCGGGGCTCCCAAGGGTTCTTCGGTCCCGGTGCGCTTACCAGCCGCGATTACGCTCTGCTTGGCAGCCACCCCGGTATCCGCTTCGCCCTTGGAGCCACCCGACTTGGAAGGACCCGATTGGCTTTTCGGGCCCCCCCTCGCTGCGGCTGCTGCCTGAAAACGGTGGACCGACTCAGTCTCCTTCCCCGTCTTCTTTGGACCCGGTTTCCCAGGCGCTGGTGCAGAGGGATTGGCTTGTCCCTCCGGTACTTTAAGAGGAGTACCGAGCTCCTTTGCGGCTTTGTTTGTTTTTATATATTTATTATTTGGCATAGTAGTTCCCACGAGTAGGCGGGAAGGGGATGGTCACCCGAGGCATAGCCCGCTTGCCCCGGGAAGCCTGATTTAAACTGGAGGTCGGCAGGTATCCACAGTCCGCATATTAGCGACCGGGCACCCCCCCGGCCATGCATCCCTCGGCATATAACAGTGTCACCTTGGATTGGGGTAATTTCACTGAGAGTTTTCTTCTCTCCGCCCGACTACCATTCGCCAGCATCCTAGCAGAGACATGACCGTGCTAGGACCTGTTTCCAGCCGCCCTCACGGGGAGAGTATAGTCGCACTTCCACCGGTGTGCACAGTTACGGCGGGTGACGGTTCGCTCGCAACCCTCTGGCTGACGGCCATCGGGAGCAATTTTTATACCCGATACTCAAAATGAGTATTGGGGTATATTAGAGTTGTGGTAAAAGTGTATGTGTGTAACGTCCAGAAGGAATCGTTTCCGACCCCATAAAGTATATATATTCTTGACCAGCATCAATAGCCGAGTCGATTGAGCCATGTCTGTCTGTCCGTCTGTCCGCTCGTCCGTCTGTCCGTCCCCTTCAGCGCCTAGTGCTCAAAGACTATAAGAGCTAGAGCAACGATGTTTTGGATCCAGACTTCTGTGATATGTCACTGCTACAAAAATATTTCAAAACTTTGCCCCGCCCACTTCCGCCCCCACAAAACGCGAAAATCTGTGGCATCCACAATTTCAACGATACGAGAAAACTAAAAACGCAGAATCATAGATAACGACCATATCTATCAGACTGCTAAATCTGGATCAGATCAGATAATTTTTATAGCCAAAAGGAACAAATCAATTTGCAGTGGCTACGCAGCGCCCGACGTCACGCTCAGACTGATTTTCTGTCTCTCTCGCACGCATTCTTTGTCGTGCCGTTTAATATTAGCCGGAGGCCGTCTGCCGGAGGATAGCCATACTGACTAAGTATCGGGTATAAATGTAGAGTTGCGGTGTCAGCAGCAACTCACAACGTTCCCCCTCGTTTTTTCTGCAAACGAATTAATGTCTATATATGAAAGAGAAAAGTCGATCGATCCAGTGAGCATTAGGCAATAACTATTTATTACAAATTTTAGTGCTTGAGCACTGGGCATAAGTGAGAGAATACAGTGGTGAATTTAGTACAAGAATGGTGAGAGTAAATACAAAAAGTGAGCGTAGGCTCTCTATTTTACGAGGGTCATTTGAGTACTTTGTTCCTTAAAGGAGTTTGACCGAACAGATCCAAAAAATTAACAAAAATTCCACATTTTACATACATAGGAAAATATGCATCGATAACAAATTTCAGCTTTGACACTTTATTGTTGAGTTTCAAGTAATTTTAGCAGTCATGCAGAAGTTTGGAAGATTTTCAGAACTTATTAATTTAGCAAGCTGAAATTACCGAATGTTCCACTGTGCGACGTTAGAACTGCCACCATATACATATATTTTTCAAACTGTTAGACATCATTTTGTATATACTTTTAGCTCAAAATATTTTGAGCTCCGAAATTTTTTGGCAACTTTGACTCCACAAAAGGTGAAGCAACGCAAGTTGCGCTAGAAGTGTACATACAAATATATGAAGATGACCGTGACCATAGATATAAAGGAAAAAAATTTCAAATACTTTAAGTGTTTTACGGACATACAAAAAATGTCTGAGCATGTTGGCCATGCCAAATCAGTCAATATTTTGTCTACCGACTATTCAATATAAAAGCAACATTTACGGACTAAAATATATTTTCCATAATGATATCTAAAAAGGATAAGAAGAAAATAAATAAGCCTAAGGAAACAGATATAGAAGAACCTTTAATTTTTAACGAAATCATGGATGAAGCGGATGTTCTTGAACTAAATTTGTTTACTGATATTAATGAAGCTTTTTTTAATGAAGCTAACCGGGTACGTATTAAATTTAAAAAAAAATGTTCAGATTCAAAAACTGTAAAATATATTATAAGGTGGTCCAAGTCCTCATGGAAGCTAAACGCAATTTCGAGGCATCAAGAATTAAAAGATATACTGACATTATTTTTAATTTGCACCGACTCTACGTCGATGAAGTCATTGATAATGATTTTTTACGCCCACGAATTGTATCTTCTGAAAACAAATTACGACTTGCTCTTGAACTAACCTTAACTTCAGAAGAGGCTGTGCAAAAACTTAAAGAGGCTTTGGGTGATGCATGGAAAGAATCTGATTCATCCGCTCTCCGCGAGCAGTTGGTCCAAGAGAAATTGCAAGAAGTCCTAATAAAGTGTGATGGTCTTGGAGATATAAATAGTGGACTAACAGATGACGCGGCAGAGTAAGTAATAGTATTCTTAATTCATCTTAATCTTAATTTTGTGGGATGCAAGGAATATAAGCCAGATACTACATGTGTATAAGTGATCTCTTTCCCCGATCATTTCCAACATCATTGTGCTGCTTTCAGGCAGCAAAGTCAGGACCCGCACATAAGTTGAGAGCCACTCTTACATACACCCAGAAGGGCAATGATGATACGATGATCCTAGGTTAGAGATGGCAGTCACTGGATGCTGACCGCGCCTATGAGACAATGTAATTTTCATCCTGAATGAAATTCCATTATGGGCATTTGGCTATCAAATGACTTGCGGCAACGAGATTCCTTAGAGAATTTGGCGTCCTTTGCCACCAATTGATTCCCTTCACTTCTGCTGCTACGACAATCGTCTGGAGTTGGCTGGAACTTCTCCTCTTGTAGATGTGGGATTCGGCTAAAATTGGCAGAACCTAAAAGAAAGTAACAGTTAGCCTGATGACTATACGGTTGCAGTTATACAGTTGTCTTTCCTCCAACTTTTTTCAAACAAAGCGTGTATTTTCATTCTGATGTTTCTATTTCTCGAGGCAATGTTCACGACCAGTGTTTGCGTAGGTGCTCCAATGAAATATATCATCTTTATCTATAAATCAATCAATCCGTTCTCTTTCGTAGTGATCAGACGTGTTTTTGTTTTGCGCTCCGCATTTTTTCCTTTTGTTTCGAATAAACAGCCGGAGTTTTCCTAACTAAATTCTAATTATACTCCCTAACCAGACAACAATCTGGAAACCAATTCTTTTACGCGAGTATGCCTTTTGATTTGTGTTAAAATATTATTTAACTTTTTATTTTTCGGCGTCGGCTTGTGTTGTGTTGTGTTGTTGCAGTGAGTGAGTATTGCATTGCAGTCCGCTCTCGTCTGGTAGCTTTTGTTGTCTTATCACTCTCTCGCTATCACCTCAACCTCAATAACTGTTCTTTCTCCCTCGCTCTTTCAACTTTCTGAGCAATAGCGCTCTCTGTCTAGTAGCTCTCGCTATAACCGCTCTCCACTCTGCTCTCTTTTTTTTCTTACCAATTCCGCTTTGAGCGTTGTCTGGCACATTGGTCTGATACCAATTTGTTTTGGAAATTTTTAATTTTAATTTTTCTTTGCAAATTTTCTTAAGAAAATATTTAAATAATAAAAATAAAAATGGAATTCGCTGTGGTCTGCGCCAAAAAAACCTGCAAGAAGCAGATCACTCACGATCAGCCGAATGTCCCCTGCTGGCTCTGCGACAGCGTAGTCCACGCAAAATGCGCGGGATTTTCTGGCCTCGTGAGTGATGCTATAGCCAAACGTAATGGACTGCATTACAGTTGCGAGGCATGCCGTGCGGTGGAGAAAAACATGGTGGCTTTCATGAGGCAGACGCGGAGTGGCTTTAAGGAGCTGACCGTTGGTTTCAAAAACCAATACGATCGTCTCCTAGCCATGGAGGCTCAGTTTAGCGGTTTAAAACTGCTGAATGAGTCTCCGAGGCGCAAAAAGGTCACTCCGCGGGACCTGCAAGTGCCAACCGTCACTCAGCCGTGCGCCGCCGAAAAACTGACTCCGACCACTCCAAGTGTGCAGCAGTTGATCTCGTTTGCCACTCCAAAGGCAACGAAAGCTGCTGGCGATGCAGATTCGGTAGCCGAATTCATCGCCTCGGAGATTGTGCAGCCAAGTACGTCTGCAGCGTCGGTGTCCGTGGTGTCCGCAAGTTCACTAGTTGTCCCGTCTATCCCGATCCCACCAGTAAATAGACGTTCCGGACCTCCGGATATTGTCACCACAGGTACTAGACCTGTGGTGACTAAACCACTGGTGGGAGTCCCACCAAAACGACAAGTTTTTGTTTCACGGCTGGCCCCTGACCTCACATCTAATGATGTAACTGCTTTCATTCAAAGCAAAATAAAAGCCGTGGGTTTAAAGGTGGAGAAATTTAACTTCTCTTATGCCAGGGAGATAGCGTCGTTTAAGATAAGCATCTCCCCAACTCAATTTGACACCATTTGCTCCACCAAATTTTGGCCGGAGCATTTGGTGGTGAAGGAGTTTAAGGCTAAGAAGAAGAATAGGCCCCCCATATCGCTTCCAAATCTTTCCAGCGTGCCACCCTCAACCTCAACTTCCTCTTCCTCAACTTCCCGTCTTGCTCCAACCTTTCCAAAAAACTAACTTCTCTTTTAGTACCCTATCAGAATGTAAGAGGCTTGCGTAGTAAGCTCAGCATTCTTTTCCGGGATAGTGTTGCATTTGCTTCCCACGTTATTGTGTTTACTGAAACCTGGTTAAAGCCGGACATTCTTAGTTCCGAGGTTTTGGCAGTTCGGTACACAACTTTTAGAAAGGACCGTTCGTCTCGACGTGCAGGGGGGGTTCTAATTGCAGTGGACTCTTACTTCACGTCAGAACACTTCACAGTCCAAGTTCAACAGGAACTGGAATTCCTGTGTGTAAAACTGATTCTTCCCGCTTTCGCTATATTCATTACTTGCTCGTATATCCCACCTTCTTCGGATATTTCAATTTATGAACAGCACTTGTCCGCTTTAACCGCTGTTGCTTCCTCGCTATCTGATAAAGATCGTATGATAGTTCTTGGTGACTTCAACTTGCCAGGAAATGTTTGGTCTTTGGTAAACGAGTCTAGTATCCTAGTGCCCATGTCACGACATGACTTTGTTGACGGCTTGCTTGACCTGTCCCTGTCTCAAGTCAATCATGTGAAAAATTCCTTGGGTCGATTGCTTGATCTATGCTTTGTATCGGATCCGACCATAGTGTTGTTAACCCGAGCCCTTCCGCTCACTATACCTGAAGACGCCTACCACCCTACTGATGGTCACTGATGTCACAAAAGGCACAAACATTTTTTACAATGCTCTTGGCACATTTTTTGATTCCTGTGTCCCGCTTTCTTGTCCGATTAGATCTGGAAAACCCCCTTGGTTTACCAAAGAGTTATCCAGTCTAAAAAACTTAAAATCAAGACTTTATAAAAAATTTCAAGAAGTGGGTTCTCCTACTTCTCACTCTCGTTATGTAATAGCTCGGTCAAACTTTTCAGTTCTTAATGCTCAATGCTATAAGAACTACCTATCTCGTTGCAGGATACGTTTTTCTCAGGACCCTAAACAGTTTTACTGCTTCGTAAACAGTAAGCGTAGAACGTCCACACACCCATCCTCGCTATCATTTTGTAATACGTCGGCAAATAATGATCAGGCAATTGCCGATCTTTTTGCCCAGTTTTTCCAAACCACCTATTCTGAGGAACGCTACTCTGGTCAACCGTACCCATACGGATTACCGAGGTCGAACGGCATTTTCAGTCCCTTGTTAAATGAATATTCCCTACTTCAAGATCTTCGACTAGTTAAGCCGGTGTTTTCACCGGGTCCAGACGGGGTACCAGGTTGTGTACTCAGGTACTGCGTCGAGGCTCTATGTGGACCTTTGCTTAAACTATTCACCCTGTCCATTGATTCTTCTTGCTTCCCCCCGATCTGGAAGGAATCGTTTATAATTCCTCTCCATAAAAAATGTTTAACTCCGCACTTGCAACATCTCTGCAAGTCACTTATATCTCCAACTCAGCATGGATTTATAAGGCGGCGATCAACCACCACGAACTTGTTAGAGTTTACCTCTTTCATTATTAAAGGCTTTCAAGGTAACTTACAGACGGATGTTATTTACATTCGACTCTGTAAACCATTCCCTTTTAGCACATAAACTTGACCTTTTAGGGTTTCCGCCCAACCTCCTGAGATGGATTTCTAGCTATCTTTGTTCTAGGTCTCAAAGAGTCCTCTTCAAAAACTCCCTCTCTTTACCAGTAAAGGTTTCTTCGGGAGTACCACAGGACAGCCATCTAGGCCCCTTACTCTTCACACTCTTTATTAATGACTTGCCTTCAGTATTAACATACTCTCGAGTACTTATGTATGCGGATGATGTTAAACTCTGTGTCCAGTACAAGGACATTTCATTTCATTCTCGCTTGCAATCCGATCTCAATAGCTTTCAGTCATGGTGTTGTGCAAACTTGTTACACCTTAATGCCTCGAAATGCAAAGTTATGACATTTCATCGTTCTAACCCTTTGTTGGCTCCCTACACCCTATTTGGGGGTTCTCTTGAGAGTATTACCCTGGTGGATGATCTGGGTGTTATGTTAGACCCCAAGTTAAAGTTTTCCGAACACATTTCTACCATGGTAAATAAGGCCATGGGCGTGCTTGTGTTTATAAAGAGGTGGTCAAAGAAATTTGACGACCCCTATATAACAAAGACTCTCTATACCTCGCTTGTTCGTCCGATCTTAGAATACGGCTCCTGTGTATGGTGCCCTCAGTACAAAGTACACCAGGACCGTATAGAATCAGTACAGAAAAACTTTTTACTCTTTGCTCTGCGGGGCCTTAACTGGGATGCGGGTGTAAGACTCCCATCTTACTCTAGTAGACTATTATTAGTAAACCTCCCATCCTTAGTTAACCGTAGAAAAATGCTTGGTGTGATATTTATGCACAACTTGATCAGGGGTGACATAGACAGCCCTGATCTGTTGAGCCGCATAAACTTCACGATTCCTATTAGACTGACTAGAAACTTTATACCGTTGTTCCTTCCACTTTGTAGATCGAATTATTCCTTGCATGAACCGTTTAGGGTCTTATGCTCGGATTATAATTCCCTCTACCATATTATATCAAACACTAATTCTCTTCCTCTTATTAAATTACTAATCCTTACACACCTTTCTAGTAATTAGTAATTGTAGTGGTTTTTGTATTTTGTATTTTATTGCATGCTTAATTTCTTAAAAAGTTTAGTGCTAATTTTCCTCGAATGTTAGTCTAATATCTATCTTTCTTGCATGCTCGCGTTTGGTTCGGCTACGCACCGCGCGTCATGCGGCAGCGCCCCTCGGTCGGTTGGGCGGGAGGAGGGCTGCGTTTTGCCTGGGATCCGCGCGTAACAGCCTTCTGCTGGTGTCACACGGGCCACTTGACGGTGCAGTAATTGCATCGCCTCTTGATAGATGCAGTCATTGCATGTCAACGTCCATAAAAAAAAAAAATAAAAATAAATAAAAAATCTAGTATCATGGTATGTGTGTATGGTACAATTAAATTTTGTTGTATATATTCCATACAAAACGTAATCAAGTTAGTTTTGATGTATTTGTCTGTTAATTTTTAACATACTGGGCTGCCTAGCCCACTTAGACCGATTTCGGCCCGTTTTGTGGAACCGCTTGGAATCTCCCCTTTTTTACATCTTGAGACATAATTTCAGCAGGTAACCCATCCGGATGACATTAAAAATTATCGATCTTTTTGGGACATATTGTGGACATTTCTAAGATTTCAGCAATGAAGGGCGAGCCCAAGTGTTGTAGCCTTTTTCTGCTGATAGCTGGACAGGAGCAAGTGTTCCACCGCGTCCACTTCTTCCTCGTCTCTAAAGCTACGGCAGAAATCAGTGGTGAGAAGACTTCCGCTGCTGCAAAGCGCTGAGCTAAGCCCAGTTGCTTGGTGATCGTCATTTTTGATTGGACCAGCCAACTGTTTGTGACTCCGTGGAGTCGTATTTGTCTAACTGTTATCAGTGAGTTTCTTGTCAACTAACAACCATTTTTTACTATCTTACTGGCTTCATTCACAAAATCCAAATATTATGCAATAGCACATTCATTAAATATTGGATTTTCGCAGTAAGATTTAAAGGTTTCCTCTAAATATCATCCAATTGAAGCTGGAGTACCACAGGAAAGCGTTCTCGTCTCCACAGCAGTCTTACAACAACTTCGACATTCTCTGATGATACTGCCATCCTAAGTCACCACAAGGGCCCAACAAGAGCAACGGAACACTTATCATCTTATCTCGTGGCCTTGGAAAAATGACTAGCAGACTGGAGCAAAAGTACAAACACCTTTACCCTGAACAGACAAACTTTCGCACCAGTGTCTCTGAACAACATCAAGATTCCTCAGACAACCGAGGTAACATACCTGGGTGTCCATTTGGACTAAGGGCTCACATTTGGCGTCAACACATCCAAGCGAAGAGAAATCTACTGAAATTTTAAGCTTCTAATATACCTTGGCTTATAAACGTTGGTAGTTTTGACAATGCAGCTCCCAAACCAATTTGGACATACACTCACATAGCTTTTTAGTAATTAGTAATTTTATTCGTATTTCGAATGCATTCTTAGTTCTCTTAGTAAGCTTTTACAAAATCCAGTGAGCTCAATCGAAGATACTGAGAACTATCTTTGGGTCAGCATGGTACATACGTACATGTAGAATCTGTTAAAGATGAAATCGCTAAGATGAAAGCAAAGTACCAGGTCAAGCTTTAACTTGGCACACTAGCCACATACGACTCCGGCGAAGAGACCTCCCGAACCAGCAATACAAATTATGGCCGGACTCTATAATTAATTAATTAAATAAATATATTTGATTAAGATTTGCCTACTATCGTTTGTCTACAAGATATTTGGGTTCTCCAGCTCTTATATGTAGTCTTTGAGATCTAGGCGCTCATCGGGACGGACAGTTAGACATGCCAATATCGACTCGGCTATTGATGCTGATCAAGAATATATATATATTATTGGGTCGAATAGGTATAGGTACCGAAGCCAGTCCGATTCCGGAACATCAGGCGGACAAACTGGACTCGGTACTCTGATTACCTCTGTCGTGTTCTCCCTGAGCCCCCATCTGAGGAGGAGTTCTCCACGGAGGCCACGACTCGTCTTCTTAAGATCTTTACCGACGCCTGCAATAAGGCGCTCGACAAAGCATGGTGGAATCCGAAACTGGGTGAACTCCGGAAAGCCTCCCGGAGACTCTTCAATAAAGCTAAGGCTGAAAACGTTGAGCAAAACTGGGCCGAATACAAGGACAGTCTGTCAACCTACAACAAAGAACTTAGAAAAGCCAAACGCGCCTCCTGGCGTAAGTTCTGCAGCGAAATCGAGAGTAACTCAGAAACCTCACGCTTGCGCAGAGTTCTCTCGAAGACAACACCAACCCTGGGCTACTTGAAGAACACCGACCAGTCGTGGACTACGTCCAGCGATGAGTCGCTAAATCTTCTCCTAAATACCCACTTCCCTGGCTGCGATGAAAACAGACCCAACTACCTCGCGCCTCCTTCTGTCGCCTCAAATGCCATCCTGAGACTGCTAAGCCAGGAAAACATTTCTTGGGCGATCAGAAGCTTTAAACCCAACAAGTCCGCGGGGCCAGACGGCATTTTCCCTGCCCAACTGATTCACGCGGGACATAAAGCCACTAACTGGCTCAAAGTAATTTACGAGGGAATCTTCTCCTACGGGTGCATTCCTGACACCTGGCTTCAGACCAAAGTCGTATTCATACCCAAGGCAGGCAAGCCCTCGCACACTGCCCCAAAAGATTTCAGACCCATAAGTCTATCGTCTTTTCTTCTAAAGGCGATGGAGCGGCTCCTGGGGCTGCATCTCACGGCGTGCCTATCGGAAGAGAAGATCCACTGAAACGGCCCTACACTCGATCACATCGATCATCGAAGCGTCCCTTAACTTTAAGGAGTACACCCTAGTAGCCTTTCTCGACATAGAAGGCGCCTTTAACAACATCCTTCCGACCGCCATCACGGGTGCACTGACGGATCTGGGCGTTGACTCCAGGACGGTGAGCCTGATCGATCAGATGCTACAATGCAGGACGGTTGAGGCATCACTGGGGACGTCAACGTGTACCAGATTTGTCAGCAGAGGCACACCGCAGGGCGGAGTCCTCTCGCCCCTCCTATGGAACGTGGCAGTGAACACACTGCTGCGGGAGATAGAGGGGGTGGCTGCCGTGTGGTGGCGTATGCGGACGATGTTGCCATAGCATTCTCCGGAAAATTTCCGCAGACGTTGTGTGAGTGCATGACAAGTACTCTCACGAAAATGTCGAAATGGGCAGACAAATGCGGGTTAGGCGTCAACCCGTCTAAAACGGAACTAGTGCTTTTCACTAGGAAGTACAAAGTTTCGGTACTGATTCCCCCAAGACTATGTGGGGAAACGCTAGTCTTCAGCAACATCGCCAAGTATCTTGGCCTAATCCTCGATAGAAAGCTCGATTGGAAATTGAGCATAGAGGATAGAGTAAAGAAGGCCACAGTGGCCCTCTACACTTGCAGGAAAGCCATCGGACTAAAATGGGGAATGACCCCCTATATAGTTCGGTGGCTCTACACCGCCATCATACGACCAATCATGCTCTATGGAGTGGTGGTATGGTGGCCAGCCTTGGACAAATTGACAGGCCTCAATAAACTCAGCAGAGTTCAACGCATGGCAGAGCTATGCATAACTGGCGGGCTACGCACTACTCCAGGGGAAGCCCTGGATACTGTGCTGGACCTCCTCCCTGTGGATCTCATAGGAAAGAAGGTGGCAACCAGAAGAACCAGAAGCCAGACTGTGGAAAGCATCCGCGGTTGGGCACTCGGGAATCCTGATGAGACTCCCGCAATTACCAGAGAGGAGAGATTACTGTATTCCTAGTGATCACCTCTCGACGCCCTTCCAGGTATCAATCCCACCTAGGGAGGACTGGGAGATGGGCGAACCAGGACCTGCAAATGCGGTCCACTTCTACACTGATGGCTCAAAGCTAGACGGCCGCGTGGGAGGCGGAGTCTACTGCAGCGAGCTGAACATCAGTCATTGCTTCAGCCGGGATCACTGTAGTGTGTTCCAAGCCATCAAGGAGGCCATTTCGATCGTCTCCAAACTACTTCTAGATACGCACTTAGTGTGCGTCTTCTCGGACAGCCAAGCAGCTATCAAAGCTCTAGGCTCAATATCGTCGAACTCAGCGACTGTAAATGACTGCCGCAGGTCTCTGCACGAGATCGCAGAGCAGTTAGATCTCTTCCTTATATGGGTCCCCGGCCACAGGGACATCGAGGGGAACGACGCCGCCGACGAGCTAGCCAGGCAGGGTACTACGATTCCTCTCCTATCGGAGAGGAAGCAAGTAGCGATGCCACTGGCTACGTGCAGGCTCCTCACGCACGAATTGTTCGAGCAAAATGCCAATAGGAGATGGCAGCAAACCGTTTCCTGTAAAGTCTCAAGTTTGATATGGCCATATCGATCGAAGAAGCGCTCAGCAGAGCTGTATAAACTCAGCAGAGCACAGTGCTCTGCAGTTACTAGAGCCATTACGGGACACTGGCAGATCGGCACTCATGCCTCTAGACTGTCAATCCCTCATAACGACTTCTGCAGGAGTTGTCGCGACGAGGAGGAGGAGGAATCGGTCCCCACTTCTTCTGCCACTGCCCAGCCCTTAAAAATCGTCGTGTTCGTATTCTCGGGGCCGCTTTCCTCACGGACATTTCGGACCTGTCCGAAATCAAACCAGGGACCTTGTCCAAATACATCCAAGCCACCGGATAGGACTGCCCTTAACCTGCAGTAGTATGCTCTCACGGTTCAGGCAACGAGAAGGGGCACATGCCCATGCGGCAACACAACGGACCTTTTATAGGTCCAAGTGAGCTTGGGGGCGGGAGGCTCTTATCCCCCCCCTCCCGGCTACCTCCTTAACCTAACCTAACCTATTGGGTCGAAAATGCTTCCTTCTGGGTGTTGCACACATCTCTGGGACATATTGTGGACATTTCTGACATGTCATTTATGAAGGCTAAGCACAAATGTTGTAGCCTTTTTGTGGCTCGGCCTAAAAAGAAGCAGAAGAAATACCGTCTAGTCCCTGCTCTTTTAAGTTGAGCTTACAGGTGGCCCTTGGTCGACAAATATCCTCCTTGTCTTTAGGAATCGCTGTGTGAATCTAGCCAAAGATTTGTGGCAGTTTTCAACTGTGGCCGAGTTTGAGGGAATCAAATTTAGCGATTTAATCGCAGCTTGGCCTAATATATAGCGGCTCTGAGTAGATTCCTCCTCCAACCTGGTTGTCTAGCTTTGATCCAAATGTGAATATGTAGGGTCGATTTTGTAATATATTATTTTTATTTAAAATGGATGATTTGGCTTAGTCTATCAGACGTATTGCTGCCATTTCTGCTCGCCTCTTTTTCTGAAAGGTCATGATGGGATGATGGGATGATGCGTTCGATACTGCTAACTAGCCTGCTAATGTACCGTTTTTCTAAGGATGCGCTCCATCCGAATTACCGAGCTCTTTCTAGTGAGTTGTGCCGGCTCGATGAGTATTACAAAAATTACCCCATCTCGCTTAACTGAATCGTGTACTACTCGGACAATATCAATATTTCACACTGTCTACAAAAACACATTGACAACATTCTCATGTATGAGCTAGAGTCATGATTCAGTTGAACTGTCAAAAAAAGCAAGTGTGAGTGCAATTCTCAGATAGTGTGAAAAGGAGAAATGAATCAAGTTTTGACACTGTGCACAGTGTGATTCCGAACTGTTAGCACGAATTAATGTGCACTCGTGAAGGCCCTAGTGCACATCCAGGGAAATGAGTATCGAGTAAAATGTGTGGGAATCCCTCAGTTAGTCCACATACGATAAGTTCTTATGAGGGTGTGGGTTTTGATAGGATATTACATAGCCTTGCTGCTTATGACGTTTCCTCGATTTCAGAGAAAAATTTTTGCCAAGAGGCCCGTTTTGCTTTCCTAGTTTCGTGCCAGAATGATTTTATAGTCTCCTCAATGCTTCTCCTCGTTAGTGCTTTTGGCTCCGTTGAAGAAAGTCCTGCAGCGTCCATGTAGGATATCTAATTATTTTGACCACCAGTGGGGTTCCTTTTTCTCCTATAAGTTTATGGGTGCACGCTGCTGTGAAGGCCACGATTCACTAAATGATTTCGGTCGTCCTGAGTGTCCGGGAATATTGGTGCTTTGGAGGGTAGTAATTCCTCCATAGCTGTAATATATTTTCCCAGCTGTCTTTCCTGAGGTTATACTGGCCTAGTCAGTTGGTTTTGGGCCCTCGAGAAGGAGGGGTCCTCTAGGACCCCTTGACTATGTCTAACAGTTTGGGAGACACTTAAGTGAGGTGTCAATAAACTCCTGTGGGTTGTTTATTATATATGTATTGTAGGATTTTTTCCCCTTAAGTTTGTATCCGAGCTTTCCGCATCATGACACATTGCCTCGAATTCTCGCATTAATGTCGAGTCTGATGAGTTGTCTTCTTGAGCCGGCTCCAGCTCGTCGTCGAGTACTTCGATCTCACAGGTAACGTCCTTCTCAAATCGGTTATCAAAAGGACGTCCCTCGGCCGCTGCGTCCAACGCGTAGATCTTGGGGATAAAGACTCAATCCATCATCTTCACGAAGCGATCTAGGAAGCTAGGATTTGGAAGCACTTCCCTTTGGGTGTTAATCAGAAATCTTATTTACCAGCAGGCTCCGGTTTTCACTTACTATTGCGTTTTACGTTTTCAGCCAAAACGTTTCGCTTTCCTTTTGAGGTGCTCCAGTTTCATTTTATTATGGCAGGTTCGTAAAAATTCAACTTGATAAAAAAGCCTTATTTTTTCAATTATTTGTTTTCAAGCTAAACGGTGGCAGAAAGTGTGCTATTTAAGAAGCTCAAGACATTTTAGATGCAACACAGGTGTATTTATAATATCATATCAATTTATAATATTACTCGCCAAAGTTTCGATAGAAAAACGAGGGGGAATGTTGTGAGTTGCTGCGGACACCGCAACTCTACATTTACACCCGATACTTAGTCAGTATGGCTCTCCTCCGGCAGACGCCGCGAATATTAAACGACACGCCAAAGAGTGCGTGCGAGAGAGACAGAAAATCAGTCAGAACGTGACGTCTGGCGCTGCGTAGCGACTGCAAATTGATTTGTTCCTTTTTGCTATAAAAGTTATCTGATCTCATCCAGATTCAGCAGATAGATATGGTCATTATCTATGATTCTGCGTTCTTAGTTTTCTCGAATCTGCAGTATTGTGGATGCAACAGATTTTCGTCTTTTGTGGGGGCGGAGGGAGGTGCGGCGAAATTTTGTGATATACGTTTTATAGTGAGACCTAACAGGAGTGCGGATACCAAATTTGGTTACTCTAGGGTTAATAGTCTCTGAGATTTGTGGATATCGCAGATTTTCGTCCTCTGCGGGGGCGGAAAGGGGTGTGGTGAAATTTTGAAACAAAACGGTCAGGGTCCGATATCACAGGAGTGTGGATACCAAATTTGGTTGCTCTAGCTCTTATGGGTTCTGAGATCCTTGAACTCATATTTTGCAATTGGCAAAACCGACCATGAAACCTGTGTGTTAGAGAGAGACAGAGCGAGAAAGAATGAAATTGTTTTCTTGATTCTGGCCATAATAATTATACGATGTGGTTCAGATTTTGCACTCTGGAAGATATAGTCATCTTTTACGATTCTGCGTTTTCAGTTTTCTCGTATCTTTGAATTTGTGGATGCCACAGATTTTCGCCCTCTGTGGGTGCGGAAGTGGGCGGGGCAAAGCTTTGAAATATACTTGTAGCATTGACATATCACAGAAGTCTGGATCTAAAACAACTTTACTCTAGCTCTTATAGTCTTTGAGCACTAGGCGCTGAAGGGGACGGACAGACGGACAGACAGACATTGCTCAATCGACTCGGCTATTGATGCTGATCAAGAATATATATACTTTATGGGGTCGGAAACGATTCCTTCTGGACGTTACACACATCCACTTTTACCACAAATCTAAACTACCCCAATACTCATTTTGAGTATCGGGTATAATAAATGAGCTCTTAGCACGAAAACGCGCTTTTATCCAGACCAATTATTTTCGAGCAAAATTTGAGGTTAGATTAAAAAAAAATAATATTAATAAAGAAGGGACAAGCTAAATCGCCCTAGTTTGGTGTCAAATTTATGTTAATGCATCAATTATCGTTTTTTTCCCCCTTTTGCATTAAAGATTCTTTTTGTTGTATAAAAAGCCGTTTACTTTTTATTTCGGCGAGAAAAATGAAAAAAACGGGAGCATTAATATGTGTTAATGTTAATGTTAATTTATGTGTTTAAAAGTAAATCAGAAGCCTGCATGTATATAATTTTTAATATTAATTATCTAATTAATTCAAGATTCGGACACCTGGCCAAATACAAGAACATAATACTCCGCGAACGCGATCGTTTGGCGGGAGAAGTTATTGATCTTGAAAAGCGTTTAGCTACTAACCGCTATTACTCCGAAAATTTGGAGTATATCATTCGGAACAATGAAGATGCTATGAGTAAAATGGCTTCCCGTGCCAAATTTGCTGAAGGAGAACGCCTGAATGTCGAGTCTAAGTTGCGAGCTCTAATGAAGACAATGGAAGAGCAAAAAGACGCTCATGGTAAGACTATGTTAAAACTAGATATAACAAATAGGGACTTAGCTGAGACCATGCGCAAATTAAGTAAAAAGATTTCGGATTATGAGCGTCAAAGAGTACGTTTGGATAAGTACAGAAGCGAGGTTAACGCATTGAATAAGACAATGCACAAATACGAGGAAGACATTGCCGATTTGACAAAAAACCAAAAAAATAACGAGGAAATGATTAAGCAACTAAGGCTAATAGAAAAAGAAAAATCAAATACTGTTACACAGTTGACTAGCAAGTTAAAGAAATCAATTGAAGATCAAAATAACGCAACAACACGATTATATAAATTAAATCGAAAGGTTATGATGTTCAATAGTGAAATTTTGCGGCACAAGTATTTATTTCTATTCTTCAATTTGTATTTATCAATAATTTAATTTTTTGCAGAAACAATATTAATTCATTGGAAAAAGATGTTCTAAATGCAAATGGCCGTACAGACGATATTCGCAGAATTAAGGAAACACTACAGCGCGAACGTGACAGCCTTAGAAGTGACATCATCAAGTTAAGTAACACAATGGCAGATTTTAAGCATGATATGATGTTGAAAGCCAATATGATTAGTTCATTAAACTTAGATATAAACAAATTAAACGTTAAATTAGATGAAGCTTATATTCTCAAATCGAAGGCGGAGAAAGAACGGGACGAAATGGCACAAGAAATGGAAACTCTGCACGAACGCATTGAAAATTATCAAGGTAAAATGTTTTGAAGTAATTCTGTAAAGTTTAAAAGTATAAACCTATTGATGTAGAAGTTCCAGCTTTAATCAATTCCGATCTCTAGTTCCATGTCGAGCTAGTCCGCGGAACTAGATCTTTAAGACAATGGCATGTATCGATATTTCGAATAGTTATGATATTTTTTTCGGGTGCAAGAGTAAATACATGTTGCATGCGAAGATATCGATAGGTGATACCCCATAGAAGCGGTGAGGAGGAAGGAAGTTCGAACATAGTGGCAAGGCCAAAATTTAAGGGGAAAAGGTTTGCAAGAGTGGCGCCACCTGGTCCTGGAGAGTGAGAGTTCCGCGCGCTCTCCGGAGCCGTTATGAGAGAAGATTTCCGATCTCATCCCATAACGGAGTCCCGAAGCCAACTCACCCATACCCCAAAGAAAAGAGAGCCGCTAGCAGCCCGTATCAGGCCATGCCCTTGAACCTAGTTCAAGGGCGATAGAAGAGAGAGCGATGGGGATCAGCGGCCCGGGAGCATTAAACAGAGCAGCTAAGCCAAGAGGGGGTTCAGAGAAAGAAATTCCCGCAACGGAGGAGCATGCGCGCCGGACATAGTGATCTAGTGATTTTTGTTAGTTTTCAAAGAAAAAGTGAGTGGGATGAGGATGGAGTAGTGGCCATCACCCGATAGAAAATAAATAAATCTGTGATTCCAGGGGATCAAGATCAGTGAAACACCAAGAACTTTAGAGCTGACCAGCGGGTCGGAAAGTAGACCCAAAAAGCACAAGTGTGAGTCCGCTCCAAAGGGGGAGTAAAGAAACCCCAAATTTATTCTTTTTGTTGGCAAATCCATAGGGAATAGGACACAGCTCCGCCATCCTGGCTTGGTTTTGCTGGTCTCGAAGGAACTATCCTGGCCACGCAGTGCGGGTCCCTCGCTCATTTAGAGAGAGGAAAAAAGCATCAATTAACTTATTTACTCCCATTATTTATTTTTGTTAGACGTCTCCATTTATATGTATATGGTGAGAAATGAGCCTCGTAGTTTTTAATTCAATGTTCATGTATATTGCGATTGACCTATTTACACGCTCATGATTGTAGTACACCGCCTAAGTAACTATTTTTACGCGCATAGCTGTGTTGTTGTTTTGCTCGTGTCCAAAACATAGCTGTAATGTTCTCACACGCATAGCCAAGCCCGCAGCTGCACACGCACACAACGATGTGTACCGTTTGGCATTGGACCGTCGCATCGCCTGATCTTCCAATTCCCTTTTAGCTCGACTTCTTTTCGCGGAGTTGAGTCAGTAGAAATTTCTAGACGAAACCGCCCGCACGCATACTTTGTACCGCCGCAGAAACGATCCCCCCGCTGTTCTTGTAATATACTTGTAAAATAACCACCAATATTAAATAATCAATAAAATAAATAAGCTCAAGATATAAACGATTATACAGTCCCCTAATTCATAACCATAGCAAATTTTGGTCCTTCGAGCCGGATCTCCGCGTTTGAGCTTATTTATATACATATTGAGTGATACCGTTACCCGCTGTTTGCCATGAAGGCCCTAGTGCATCGTCTAATTCAGCAACGTGGGGCCTGCAAATCCCAATTAACTCGCGTGGCAGCGGAGGCTCAAGAGTTTGTACAGTCATGTACTTCTGTGCAAACATTAGAGCACAAGTTGGACCGACTTGTTGCAACTTTCAACCGCTTTATGGAGCTGTCTGAAGAGCTGGTCCAATATAATGATGAAGATGAATACGTGGATCCGGATTTGGACATCCCCGAATATGAGAAAAGGTTCTTTAGTGCGCATAGTATCTTCACTGAAGCCATACGTGACCGGAGCAGTCACGAGAATGAGCACGACAACTCAAATCTACTGCTATCGACCACTGTGGAACGCTTATTTGAGGGACAAACTCAACTTCTGGAGAGGATTCGGGACTCATCGGGAACCACAGAGCTGCAGTTCGAGAAAATACGCATTCCGACGTTTTCGGGCAGATACGAGGATTGGTGGCAGTTTAGTGACTTGTTCTTAGGCTCAGTCGACAAGAAGAATAGTCTGTCCAAGTGCCAAAAGTTTCATTATTTGAAATCCTATCTGGATGGTGAAGCGTTGTCTCTGATAAAACATATTCCCGTATCGGATTCCAATTACCAGGACGCATGGGAGAGGCTCGAAAATCGCTACAACAAGAAGTCACTGATTGCTCGTTCGTTCATTCAAAACTTTCTTTCGTTGCCAACCGCAAAGGGTTCAAACATCGCCGAGTTGCGTAAGATAGTCGACACCGCTGACGAAAGTATACGTGGTCTACATGCGCTGAGCTGCGACAGCCGCGATGTGTGGCTAATCCATATCTTGCTCTCAAAGTTAGACCCGGAATGCAAGGAAGCGTGGGCCACCTCCTGTGAATCGTGCAAGGAAAACGTGACCATAAATGACCTGTTCGGCTTTGTCTTCGCCCGTTGCGATGCACTTGAGTCTTGTCAAGATCCAAAGCTAATCCAGGATACACACACGGTGCTGAATAAACGTCGTGCAATTACTCATCATGTGGACGTGCCAAATACGTCTGCTCGTGATTGTGTATATTGTCACGAGCAACACAGTCTTTATGCGTGCACTCAATTCAAGGCTCTGGATGTTGTGGACCGCCGCAAGTTCGCAAGGGATGGTAATTTGTGCTTCAATTGTCTAAGCCGATCTCATCAAGTCAAGGAGTGTAATTCCACAAACACGTGCCGTCTGTGTAAGCTGAAGCCACACTCTTGTTCATCCAGAGGACATACGCTCTGTCACGGCTTCCGCTGATGTCAATAACTCCGCTGACTCACCCGTCCGCTCGTCCAGTTTCCCTGCTGACGCTGATCCTGCCGTGGTCAGCCATCATACATTGGAGAGGAAATTCGTGGCCAAGAGTCAGGCCATATTGCCAACGATTTTGGCCACTATAGTCGACTCCTGGGGCAACGAGACCACCTGCAGGATACTGTTGGATACTGGTTCGACTATAACGATGGTCGCCGAATCATTTATTCAACGAATTGGTTTGCCGCGCACCCACGCTCGTATACCAGTGGTTGGTCTAGGCGCAAATCCTGCTGGGGTTACTAGAGGTCGCGCCACATTCACGCTGCTCTCCCGCACAAGCTCGGCCTCAGTGGTGGTAACAGGTCTGATTATGAACACTTTAACCTCCTCGATTCCAGCCCAGAGGATCGAGTCTAACACACCGATGTGGAAAAGAATTCGTGATCTACCCTTAGCGGACCCTACATTTGGTAAACCAGGCGAAATCGACGTGATCTTAGGAGCTGATCAGCTTTGGAACCTTTACACTGGACAACGCAAAGAGTTTGGTTCTGAATATCCTATTGCACTTCACACTAATTTTGGTTGGGTCATTACAGGCAGCTACCATCTCAGTAGTGATGCTCACAACCACGCACTAGCACATCACGCGCACGAGGATCTGGAAACTTTGGTTCGATCGTTCATGGACATGGAACGAGTTTAACCAAGTGACGCTACCATTGATACTAGTGATCCCGCTGAGCAACACTTCGTTCATACGCACGCCCGCAGAAACGATGGCGTGTACATCGTCCAATACCCGTTCAAGGAATCTGCCCCTCCGATGGGGTCCACACTGCCACAAGCACTACGCCGCTTTTCTTCTCTCGAGCGGAAATTTCGAAAATTTCCTGCGCTCAAACAACAGTATGTCGAGTTTATGGAGGATTATATACAACGAGGACACATGGAGGTGATTCCTTCTACTACCGTAGAAAACGGTCCCGCCAATCACAATTACTTAGCACACCACGCAGTATTTAAACCAGATAGCACCACCACGAAATGCCGAGTTGTATTCGATGGCTCTGGGGAGGACTGCAATGGATCTTCACTTAATTCACGACTACACATCGGACCACCTATTCAAAGGGATTTACTTGGAGTATGTCTACGTTTCCGTCAGCATCGCTATGTGTTTTGTACGGACATTGAGAAAATGTTTAGAGGCATCCTGGTTTCAGAAGATCACACGCATTACCAACGGATTGTCTGGCGAAAGGAGGAGACTGCTACACTCGATCATTATCGATTGCTGACCGTGACGTATGGTTTAGCGTCTTCGCCGTTCTTGGCTGTTCGAGTTCTCAAGCAGATCGCGCAAGATCATGCCGATTTGTATCCGAAGGCTGCTGCTGTGCTTGTACGAGACGCGTACGTGGATGATATCCCTACTGGTTGCGATAGTATCGACGATCTCATTGCACTCAAAGATGAATTAATTTTGCTATTGAGCCAAGCTCAATTTAAACTTCGAAAATGGAGTTCAAACTGTTGGTCACTACTCAAATCGCTGCCACAGGACATTTGTGAGTATCCACTTGAAGCCCTAGAGGGAAATAGCCCAACTCAATATGTCAAGGTTCTTGGAATACGCTGGGACCCGGCTGTAGACGAGCTTTCCTTCAAGTTGACCATTCCCGACGCCACAGGGGTTCTGACAAAACGGATTTTGCTGTCCGAGCTTGCCAAGATCTACGATCCACTGGGGTTGCTTGCCCCCACAACTGTATTTCTAAAGGTTCTATTTCTAAAGGTTCGCATACCCCGCTATCTATCCTCGCCACTTCAAGCAACGGAGCTGCATGGATTCGCCGATGCGTCATCTCATGCATACGCCGCTGTCATCTACAGTCGCGTGAGAGTCAATAATGACTACGCTGTAACACTGATCGCCGCAAAAACCCGGGTGGCACCCATCAAACCTATCTCCATCCCACGGCTCGAGTTGAATGCCGCCCATCTTCTGTCGAAATTGATGTCTCTGGTTAAGCAAACTCTAACTATTCCTATTTCCAGTACTTCGTATTGGTCAGACTCCGAAATTGTACTACATTGGCTCTCATCACCCCCACGGACTTGGAACACTTATGTTTGTAATCGCACGGCTGAGATTCTAGAAGCTTGCCCACGTAGCTGCTGGCAA